TTTTATATTCGACTTGTTGCCACCACACCAGATTTCATGTGGGTCACAGGCAGATATAAGTTTCAAGGCACACCAGGCCTCTTCCATCTCACGTTTTATAGTGGAATGACGGCACTCGGATGGAAATAAAGAAAAAGTTATAAAGCTCAGCTTGTTTGGGTTTCCGGAATATTATTTTAAAATGCTAAATGCCATAGCACTGCTGAACCAAAGTATCGATGTTGTCCTAAAAAATGTAGAAACAGGACGATGAGAAAAATTGCTCCGAGAGAATTCCAGCGGCGATAAGGGAAGGTTTGCTGACGAATGCTTAAATTTTTTAAAGATGATTTATAACTTAATTTAGTTTTGTGTTCCAAAGACCGAGAGCTTAACTAGCCATGGCAGAGGCGTTAATTATACTATTTGAATGAACTTAATCTCTCGTGTATCGTCAGGGTTTTTAAACATTTCGAGTATGACTACTAACTAGCTCAAACATGTCTCAAAACCTATAAGGCCCAAGCGACAAAGAGTCAGTTGGCAGAGATTATTTTTAACGTAAAGCAGAATTCTGACTTAGAAATCGGGATCTTGAAACTTCAGCTCCCTCTTGAGAATAAAGTAGTTTCTTTGTTAAATTCAAGTCATATCTTCATACAGAAGATTTTGAATAGGGCCCCACGTAAGCTCAGGTCACTTATGATGATGCGTGAACCGATATTTGCGCTTCCCACAGTCAAATAAGTGAAAGGTATTACGAAGCTATTCACATCAACTTAGTCTTCCTTATCCGGAGTAGATTAGTGTTTAGAGCTCTCTTGGGTCCTTTCAACAATCCCAATGAGATTTGTAACCATGATCATCCTCCACACGCATACTCACACAGTCATGAGTAGCAGTGGCTTGTAAGGCTGATGCGACTTTTAGAATAGAGCAAGCCTCGTTAAATTCACTTTTAAAGTGGGAATTGTGAAGTAATTGCAGCATGGATTTGTGACTACTTTTGACGGACTGATGGGATCAAGGCGGGGTCAAAACCGATGTTCAGCTGCGATGAGCAAGCTATATAGAGGCAAGGCCAAATGAAATCTGATGGAAAAATGAGACTTTCTACTTCCATCTGTATGGAAAAACTAAAATATCAGGCATGTCGGCAAAGTAAATCAACTCAAGTGATTTAATGTCGGTTTGGCCTCGTTTTCACAACTTGGTCGAGGCAACAGTGAGACTGTGTAGAGCGTACCTAGTTCTGCGTCTTCTGCCCTAGCAATTATGATTTCCAGCACCGGACCGTTGACTTGGTACATTCCCAAACGTTCCGCCAGGATTGTAGTCGCCATCATGACTTGTCACTGATAAGTTGTAACTATGTGCTAACGATGGTGTTTCTCACCGACGATGCCGGAGAAACGGCTAGGAATGTACCAAGTCAACGGTCAGATGTTGGAAAGCATGAATACTATGGCAGACGATTCAGGATTAGGTACGTTCCACAAGGCCTCCCTCACGCTATGGCCAAGTTGGGAAAACGAGATCGAACCAACACTATACAGTTAAAGGAGACTGCGACCAAACAAAAGGCCTCATCACCTTGGTCTTCATATTTAAGTGATTTAAGTTCTTAAAGAAGATTTTTTATAATTTCCGAGACACTTAAAGATCCCGGAGATAAAAGCAAAAACCCGAATGCTTTATCCTCAACATTCCCAGAACAAATATGAATTTGGAGAGACCTTGTTTGTCACGAAAGTATATCTGCCAAGTCGTCCACGGGCACTCCGGAGTGTGTGGTGGGAGGGTGGGGGCAGTTATATTCATATAAAGTAGGTTTGTAAATTACCATAAAATAGTGAATAGGAGTTCCAGTCACCCTAGGTCACATAAGGCGACGAAGGACTGATAGCCGAATTGAAAAAGTGTGGACTACTCATTTGATTGTGGGAAAATTCATTTTCACACCTTCCTCACTTCATGTAACCTCTGGTGAATGTAACACCTATTAAAGATTTAACGATAATTAAAAAACTAGCTTTATATGAATTGTAATGACAAAAATACACGTTTGTTATATCAGCAATCCCAATACAAGTGTGAAATGAGAGAGGTCTGAAATTAACGTCTGTCCTGTGAACCAGGCGCACTCGTGACAGCTTGGCGGGTTGGTTACGTGTCGAGAATGCATGATGTACTAATCGGGTTTGATTTCCTTCATGGGTGCTGATGAGACCTAGGCGAGGTTGAAAATGCTGTCAGCCTTTGGTTTGAATACCTTTTGGGAAGCAATGCTATGTAAAATTAAGTGGAAACTTGAGGCACATTAATATCATTGTAGGAAAAACGCAAATATAAGTTATTCTTCAATTTATGCGACCAAGGCAGACTTGAACTTTTATTCGAGGGTAAACACTGCTGATAGATGCGTAAAATTCGGTTTCTGCTCCCCTTGATATGCCATTCATACTCAGTCAGAGGTAGAACTAAGGTGTATAATGAATGAGAATGCCTTTGTGGAGGAAATTTTATGCTCGACGTTTATTCACTTTATTGTGGAAACTTCAAATGTCAGTCCTTGTAGCACATTAAGTGACTTAGATGTATAGGATCCAACTAGATTTTTAATGCGATTGGAACATATGGCCATTGCATTTGGACCAACTTGCCTAGAAAAACCGTTTCCAGTTCTAGCCATAGTTGAAAATAGCTCGCTTTTTGAAGTCGTACTCGGGCTTCCATCAACAGAGTGAACCTCCTGTTTTATTCTGCCTTGTTCTGGATCAGCAACCTCTTTTGTTCGATGAGACTGACAATTGCCATTTTCAGTACTAAAATGTCCTTGATCGGGCAAGAAGGCTCTGTTGATCGTCTTTGGAGGATCTGATTGCTTTCCGAAAGATGTGTCTATAGAAGAGGATGACTGAGGGAAATAAATGGGATCAGCAGCAGGAGTAAGAGCAGAATAGTGGGAGTGAGAAGGTGGAGGAGGAGGAGGAGGAGAAGAAGGAGGAGGAGGAGAAGAAGGAGGAGGAGGAGGAAGAGAAGAAGGAGGAGGAGAGGAAGGAGGAAGAACAGATGGTGGATCTAAAGGAAGTTGCGGATGAAGAGAAGCAAAGGCAGGTATCGTTGGAGCAGGAGGCGGAGGAGGAGAAGGAAGTTGTGGTGGGGGTGGTGGAGGATGAGAAGGGGGAGGGGGAGGAGGAACGGGAGGAATAGAAGAGGGAATCGAAGGAGGGAGGGTAGATTGCACTTCAGTGGATGATCGGTCTAACGGGTGTCCTAATGGAGTTGCGCTTGCCTTGTCTGAAGAGACTTGAGTCAGTACAGGAAAAGGTGGTCTTCTATTCTGCCAGTATTGAGGACTCTCAAAATGGGAAGCCGTCCGTTCCAAGTTGGCTCGGGTCTGAAGCGTCTGTGTAGGTGTTTGTGGTACCAATGTTGGAAGGCCTGCCAACATGTTGGGGGTAGAACCCGCTATGGATTGTCGAGTGCGACGTAGTTGTGCCTTTTTGTTAGCAATTTGCTTGGTGATTAGAAAAAGAACGAGAGACTAATACAGAGAGAGGTATACACCCTATTTCGTTTAAGGTGATGAAGAACTGATAGCCGAATTTAAAAAGTGTCGCCTAATCATTTGATTGTGGGAAAATTCACTTTCACTCTTTCCACACTTCATGTAATCTATGGTGAATGTAACACTTATGCAAGATTTATCGATAATGTAAAAACTAACAATTATGTCACAGCAGAAGATAACTTTGGGATACAGCATCTGGGACGAGGCCATAGGATTCCTTTTTAGACACCGCATCCTGAAGACGATAAAGAACTAGTCTATGAAGACGCATAAATGGACAAAGACGGCCTTAAATTTATATACAGTACAGTTTATCTGGAGACAAACAAAGCCTATGCGTTAAATGAGATGTATTCACCCAATGTAGTTTAAGGTGATGAAGGATTGGAAGTAGAATTTTCCAAAAATGCTATGAATAGAGCTAACGTTTCCATTGAATTTCAAACAACCTTGCTTTCTCAAAAGTTGTCCTCATGCCGGGTGGACAGCAGCTTCGACCTCAGCGGGAGTCGAACTGTGACAGTGCGACATGTGAGCTCGACCACATTCCACGAGTGCTCTTGGGTCTATAACCAGTCTTTTGTCAGCTTAAACGAAATAGAGTGAATACATCTCATATTACTGATTTACTAGTAGTCTCGAACTCTACTTATTTACGAAAAACAAAGCCTATGTGTCCTAGAGTCACCGAATGAAGTGACCAATATATATATATATATATATGTCATGCTTATTTATATAGAAAAATGGACATGAAAATAAACTTTGGGCGACTGAGACTGCAATTATCTTAAATCGTAGACGCACAATCGGGCCAAAGTTTTGACAAGGCTGTACTTGATTTAGTACATGGGAAAATGTGATTTTTGTGAAGAACCTCATGATGCTCATTTTGGGTTACGCTTTTTACTAAGAAAGTTTACGAGGGAAAAGAGCTTTGAACGATGGAAGAAAGAGATTACTTAATGGCGTACTAGTTCAGAAGGTTGCTATTTCCGAGCCAGGACTTCCCTCCATCGAAAAATTAAATTTAGGCCTTCACCCACTATATTAACTAGCCCACCAGACTGTAACTACACATGAACATTGTGTCAGCTGATAACGAATAGCATGATCATCTTCCTTGCTATCACTTTTCGATCACTCCACTCGCAGCAGAGTGTTATTTTAAGGATGAAAAATGTGTTTGTAAGCAACAACCATGTTTAACCTGATAAAGGCGTTCTCGATATTCGGAGACGTGAAGCTGAACATTATCGTCTACCGGAAGCAGTACAGGACTGGGTGTGTAGAGTTCAATCGCGGATTTTTGGAATCTGTATAGAGAAGGATATAATAGGTAATTAAATATAGAGTTATATCTGTGAAAGTAACTGTTATAAACTTTTGGAATACTTTAAACTATTCTCTTGTTTGTCATTTTTAAGCTGTGGGGTATTTCCTGATGCTGCTGGGATCCATCAGTATACATTTGAATTTGGCTACCATCATGCATTAACTTCCAAATGGAATTGGCAAAGTCGTAGTGCGGACCTGATAACTTGTGTGACTTGGCCATTAGCTGCAGACGCCTATGGGATAGAGTGATCCTCTCTTCTTGCTGGATTATGTAAGCGAGGTCTGCTAAGTGAGAAATCTAGGCCATTGGGAACTAGTTTCGTGTGATTATAAAGTCTGTGTATATCTTGAACAGAGAAATTAGTCACATTAAGTTGTGATTAAAGTGGTGCCTTGAAAGTCAAATCGGCTGCTTGAATCATTGAAGTACATGACTGTTTACTTAGGTTGTAACCCATATATGAGATGTATTCACCCTATTTTGTTTAAGGTAATAACACACTGGTAGTAGAATTTTCCCACAATGATATGAGTAGAGCTGACGCTTCCGTTGAATTTCACATAGCCTTGCTTTCTCAAAAGTTGTTCTCGTCCAGGCTAAAGTGGACTGAAGTTTCGATCTCGCCTAGGTTTTATCCACACTCCCAGCGGGAGTAGAACCGTGACAGTACAGAATGGGAGCTCGACATGTTAACCACTTGACCACATTGCCACGGGTGCCCTTGAGTCACAGGGCAGATGTGAATGTCAAGGAAGTCCAGGCATTTTGCCATATCATATTTTTTGGTGGGATTGTCGATGAAACAAACGTATATTTGCTATAACAATCGACTACGTTACTTAAATAGAAAAATAAGTAATGTAATTGATTTCAGTAGCAAAAACAACTTTCTTTTTTGAAAATTTTTCTACACAATGTGATATGGGAAAGTATCTGGCCTTCCTTGAAATTCACGTGTCCTCTAATGTGGCGTAGTGGTTAACGTATCAAGATTACACACTA